GATACACCGGAGGTTCTTTCTTTATTGCAGCTAGTTTGATTACTAGTCATTATTTGTAATCGGACGCCCCGACGTCATCGGGATCGTTTCCAAACTATCTTACTGGTGGGGCCCGTTGTGTCGTACATTTAGCTTCATTTCTCCGTAATGAGGGCACTGCTGTTGACAATGTCACCGTTTTAGACGACATACATTGAGCTTCCACTCTAACACAAATTGTTATTTGCCTTTAGTGTCCCTTTAACTAAAAGTTGATCCGGAACCAAGCGAGATGTACATAAGCCCACAATGCTGCAATAGGCAATGCTACATACAAAGAACCAAAGTTTGTGCCTGTTGACACGAACTTCTACTAGTGCATACTAGAAAGGACACCAATGTGTGCTAGTCCCTTCACGGCGGAATCGACCAATCAGGTTAACTGCACATTCCATCACACGCACAACTTTTTTGACATCCCTGGCAGGTGCAACAATGAAATTAAGACCCAGCTACAGAACGGAGGCCTTGGCAGGGTCGACTTGGCGTGAGGGAAGGTTGTACAGTCAAATCTCTTTATAGCGAACCTGAGATTAACCATTCTTTCAGATTAACAACTTTTTCGAAAATCCTTCTCCAAGTATCCATTGGTATAATGTAAAAATATTTCACAAGTATGAATTTCAGAATACAAACAGAATAGCATATCGTATTTTATCCCCTTTATATATCCACAACACTTTCATTTAACAAATAATGAATAGCTATTTTATAAATTTAGAAAAGTACTCGCAGCTGTGGAAATAATGCCCAACTCTCTACTTGCCACTATCATCATCAACAAAGTGCCTGCGTAATTCTCTGTGGGCCCCATAGAGTTAGCAAAAATTAACTACAATGAAACCTCGTCAATATGTAGTTGGCCGTGAAAGACGTTTTGGTACGTACTAAGTGATGTATGAATTGACCGCCGGTGCCACTTTAGCGGCTACTTACCGGTCAGAAAAGAACGCCACGATCCTCCCGAACATGTGCACGCACACACGCAGGCATGCAAGCTTTATTTAGGAAAAAGCAGCGAAAAAATACGTGATCTTCACTTGCCACCGTGGTGGCCCTGCTGCGAAGATGGTATCTTCGAAGTGGGTGAGGCCGCGAGCCAGCCGGTCCATTTGGCCGTGCTTCTCGGCGAAGGCTCGCATCATACTTACAGCATATGCGCAGCTTCAAATAAAAAGGGGCCATCGTCCTCCACTTCGGCATCACTCTCCTCCTCATTTTCACTTGAATCAGGACGAGGTGCGAAGGTGAGAACAATGTTGCTGCCGGGTAAAGTCCGGACATGTAACGGCGTCTGCGTCCACATCTCAGAAAGTGCCGAAGTTTACCTTTCCGACTCCATCTCCTTGCTGCTCGAGCACCGCAACAAGAATGCCCTCGCAGTCTTAAGTGTCCTGACCCTTTTCGTCGTCGTCGCTGCTTTCTTCTAGCATTCTGAATTGTGCTCGCATGAAACAAATCCGTATCAATGCAGGCTCTACCTGCATCCATGAGTGCGCAAGCAGATATTTAACACCCAGGAGGTTTATCGTGTACGTTTTGCCGCTCTCTATGGCGAGCAACATCTTCCGCAACAGATTTTTGCGGCAAATCTGCTAGTCCAGAGCAGCTGATACCCTGATTGAGAGACTGAGCGAGCGCTGTAGTGTTGGGTGGCAAAAACAACAGCTTAATAGCCGGCAGGTTACCCATATCAGCATGCGCCGAGGCATTGTCCAGTTTTGTCAGTACACTCCTTTTCTTGGCAGTAAAGCGGCGTTCCAGCTGGCGCACATACTCCTCGAACAGCCGGGCTCTGTCATCCAGGCATTTTGTTGTGCTTGTAAACAACGCCGAATGGCAACCGAGCGTCTTTCAGGCAACAAGGGTTTCCATACATGCCAATCATCATCAGTGGCAGCTTCTCACTACCAGTCATATTCATGCCAAAAGCGACCGATATCCGATTTTTGGCATGTTTTCCGCTGGTGCACTTCTCGTTCTTAAATGCCAAAGTCCTGTTTGGAAGCAGGCAATAGAAAAGTGTCGACTCATCCAAATTGAAAATGTCGGCGGCATCGTAGACTGTTGAGGCTTCCTGCAAATCCGTGTCCTTTCTTTCAACAGCACCTCCTTTGTCTGCTCCAATAGCCTCACCACAAACAGCCTTCCCTACAATGCCGCAGTGGGCTTTAAACTATGACAACCAGTCATTGCTGCAGGCAAAACTGGGGTAGTTCAGCTTATCTGAAAAATTTTGCGCTTTTTCGGACGAAAGAAGCAGTCATTGCTGCATGTAAAACTGGGGCAGTTCAGCTCATCTGCAAAATTTTGTGCTTTTTCGGTTGAAAGGGGTCCACCGAGCGGTAGGATTAAGCTCCACGCTTTTTTAGCCAAAATGCAGGGCCTTTTCTACTTCGAGATAGAGTCTCTAATGCGGCACCTCTTCAAATTGCTGCCCGTGCCGCCCATCAAGTTTTCACGAGCGTCCCGAATACCGCACATAGTTGTCACAGGCAGTTTCTTCTCGCGAGCTGTCGTAGATTTCTTGGCTCCATTTTCAGTGGTGCCAATGATCTCTAGTTTTTTTTTTTTTTCACATTCGAGACGTGGTACTTCAACACAATATGAAGCATTTGCGTACAAATTTATTCACACACTTCGTGCACAACACAAGAATTTAAAAAAAACACGACACGCCGCACAAGAAGAACGTTGGTAACACATCAGCACATCACCGCCTCGATCAACACTGTGGAAAAGTGAGGAATAAAGACCGAATGAAGAAACGTGCGCAGCCTGGCTCAGCGCTGCTGAGCCATTTAGATTATGTACTTGGCTTGGATCGGAAAGCGACAGCGAATTCACAACCTCCACTGGGAGCAGCGATTGAGAGATCCTGGGTTACCAAAAACTGATTTTGAAGGCCATGCTCTTGCACGATGCGATTCGCATCAGCTGTATGCGCAGAAAATACGTCAATGGGACCATGCTTTGATGTCATTATCGCTGGCTGTTGTAGTCCAATCGTTACAGCCATTGTATCGAACCTCTGCGTGCACACAATTTTGACGATTTTCAGCCTGTGCATGAATAACGAGAATAAAATTAGTACATACAAATTGTGCATTAAGGCTACAAGCGACTTACGGCTTAAGTCATTAGCCAATACATGGGGGTTCAATGAAGACTGGGTGGGGGATTCCTCATGATTACCCTATTTACTTGCATAATCCTCGCACTTTTTTTTGCGGAAAATCGATGCAAAGTTGGGGGGTGCGAGAAATATGCAGGGAAAACTTCCCATGCAAATGTACAGAGCGAAAAAGAAAACGAAGTCGCTGCAAATCAGGATTCTCACACCAGCGACTAACAGCAAGCTTTGAGAAGTACTAATTAACACTTACCTCAACAATAAAAGCACAGATTCAACACAAGGCAAGATTTACTTGAGACACAAAAAGTGCAAGTAAATAGTCGAGAAATAGAATTTGCATAGCTTGTGCACGTTGCGGGCGTAGTGGTAGCATTCGTCGCTCAACAGGAGCCCTCAAAAGGTAAGCGTAGGACGTCAGTATTGAGCTGATGGTTATTTAACAGAATCATCCACTGTGTCTGAGAAAATAAAGTTTACCATCAATCCCAGTTTTAGGCACAGAGCAGGCCCACGCGTCTTCGTGGCTTTCAGCTGCCATCACCAGTAGCAAACACAAACTCGTAGACTCCGAAGGGCCTACCTGTTACGTCGCGAGTGAACGGCTCAGTAACCAATCAAGAACAAGGGCGATTTATTTTGCGTGTTTCGCTTTTATGTGCTCGGCGATGGCGATGACGTCATGACATGATTGGCGACACGCTTGCATGACGTAGCACATCTCCCCCTTTTATCAGTTGAACCTTTGAGGTGGTCGCCGTAGCCTGTTGGACCGGCGAAGCGGCGGCGGTGCCTCAGATTGGCTAGAGGGCGGCGACCCCGCCAGCGTGGGGTCAGCCATGCCGGCTGGCATCGGCGAGGTTTTGTTAGCGGTGGTGGTGGATGTTGTAGCGCCCCCTGGCTGCGTTGTGTTTCAGTCCTTCGGAGTGCGCAGCTGCAGTTGGTTCGCGTGACGACATTGCTCGCCGTCCGGCGTAGACACAGTCGCCATCCGAGCCCCTTGGGTACTGGTGACCACTTCCGTCAACCATTTTGGGCCGGCTGTGGAAACTTCTCAGCCACACCGGCTGTCCTGCACAGAACGGCATGGTGGAGGAGCGCTCTTCAAGACGCGGTTCCCCGCCTGCACTCGGGAGGCAACAGTCTAGCCTGGTCCGAAGCCGATAACCCAGCAGTAGTTCGGACGGAGACTTCCCAGCCTTTACCGGTGTCCGTCGGTAATGGCATAATAACTGACTGAGACGTTTAATGAATGTGCCACCCCCTTGGCGTTTTCGAAGGCCTTCCTTGATCGTGCGAACCGCGCATTCCGCCAGGTCATTTGACTGCGGGTGGTAAGGCGCCGTCGTCACGTGGTTGATCCCGTTCATTCTTACGAACTTCTGAAACTCGGCTGAGACGAACTGTGGCCATTATCTGAAACAAGTGTATGTGGCAGTCCTAACCTGGCAAATATGGGCCTCAACGCTTCCACGGTGACTTCTGATGTCGTACTCCACCTCGATATAGCCTCCAGCCACTTTGCTTCAGCATCTACGACCACCAGTAGCATGTGTCCTTCGACGGGGCCTGCGTAGTCGATGTGCACTCGACACCATTTCCGGCCCGTTTCTGGCCATGGCGCCGGAACCTGCGCAGGAGGCATTGCACTGCTTTGAGCACACCTCTCACATTCGCGTACCATCCTTTCGGTGTCGGCATCCAGCCCTGGATACCAAGAAATGGTTCGAGCTAGGTTTTTCATTGCCGCCATCCCTGGATGTGTTTCATGTAGGAGCCTAAAAAGACTCCCAGCAGCCGCTGATGGCACTACTATTCTATGTCCCCATTAAATGAGGTCCTGATTCACCGTCAGCTTATCCTTTTTCTGGAAGAACGGCCGGAATCGCTCCTCGGAATCTGTCAGGTACTGCGGCCAGCCCTGCAGGATCCACTTTCGCACCTGCTGTAACATAGCATCATGGATGGTTAGAACCGCCAACTCCTTGGCACTGATGGGTGCCGCGTTCACAGCTTCAGCTTATAATACATACTCGGGAGCGTCGTATTTTACGTTATCGGGCTGCCCCCGAGGAATAGGGAGTCGGCTGAAGGCATCTGCGTTTACGTTTTCAGGTCCTTTACGATAGGTTAGGCTGTACCGATATCCACCCAACAGCAGGGCCCAACGCTGAATGTGAACTGGCGCTCTTTGGCCGTGAATCGGCCCTTGCGCCATAAAACATCAAACATCATCAACGCTGAATGTGGGCAGCGGCCATCGGCGGAATTCCCTTGTCTGGACTGAACAGTCCGGTTAATGGTTCGTGGTCGGTTACTAGTTTGAAGTGGGTTCAATACAGATAGTCTCTGAGCCTGGTCACGCCAAATACGAGGGCGAGGGCCTCCTTTTCCAACTGGGAATAATTTTTCTCGGCTTTTGTTAATGTTCGTGACCTGAATACGATAGGGTAGTCAATTCCTCCGACTCGATGCGACAACACTGCTTCCAGGTCTACTGCTGACGCGTCGCACTCTAGGCGAATGGGCTTGCTTGGGTCAAAATGCACCAAAAGTTTTGCATTCTTCACTGCTTGTTTGGCTGCCTCGAAAGCATTCTGCTGTTGTCTGCCCCAGACCCATTTTACGCCCTTTGCCAACAATGCGTACAAGTGCGCTAGTAAGGTCGACACATTGGACAAAAACTTGCCGTAGTAATTTAACAAACCTAAAGAAGCTTTCAGTTCTCTTACCGAAGTGGGCTGGGGGGCGTCGAGCAGTGCCGTGATGTTGTCGCTTTTGGGGCGTAGGCCGTGTCTGTTGATGCAGTGTCCGAGAAAGGTGACTTGCTCTTGCCTGAACTTGCATTTCTCCCGTCGTAGGCGCAGGCCGTGTTCCCTCAGGCGCTGTAGCACTTGCTCCAGGATCCTGCAGTCGTTTGCCTTTTCCGATACAATTATGTCGTCCAGATATACCTGCACGCCAGGGATCCCGCTGAGCACGGCCTCCATGCGCCGCTGAAAGATTGCTTGCGCTGACGACACTCCGTAACGGCAGCTTGTTGAAACAGTAGAGACCCTTATGCGTGTTATAAAGGACTAGCCTCTTCGAGTCCTCGTCAAGGGGCAGCTGATTATAGGCGTTCAAGTCCAATGTGCTAAAAACTTCTCCGCCGTTGAGGTTCGCAAAGATATCGTCAACCCGCGGCAGCGGATATTGCTCCATTATGGTAGCGGCGTTCACCGTAAGCCAGAAGTCGCCGCTTAATCACACATATCCATCTTTTTTGACTACGGGCACCACTGGTGTGGCCCATTCGGCCGATGTTACCGGTGATAGCACCTCTTCGTTTACCAGCTGATCTAACTCTGCTGATAACATTTGTTTGAGCGCATACGGCACCGTCCGCGCCTTACGAAACCGGGGTCTTGCGCCTTCTTTGACGGTCAGGTGTACCGGTGGCCCTCGGAGCAAACCCAACCCTGGAGCAAAGACATCACTGTACTTTGATAGCATGGTTTCCACCATTCTGTCCGCATTTTCCGCCTGCACACGTCACCTCGTTTCCAGTGAGTACCGGCACGCTGCCGTATTGAAGCTGCGGATAGTGTCACGGCCGCAAAGCATCGGTCCCGGACAGTTGATAACGAAAAGTTTGGCCTGAATGGTCGCGCCTTTTATGGTCGCATTGAGTTGCAAGTTTTCGTTGATAGGAAGTGGGCCCTTGAAACACGACAGCTTCATTGTTGTGGCTTGCAAACGTGGCCATTTGCCTCGGTGTTGCTCGAACACTGACCGCGGAATAACACTCACAGGTGAACCCGTCTCTACCAACATTGTGCGCGGCACTCCGTTCCAACTTATCTGGCGCAAAATAGGCTTTACGTGCGCGCTGTCCGTCACTTGATACGCAGTCAGCGTGTATAAAGCTTCGCAGTCATCCGAACTCTTTTGTGGGTCTTGCGAAAGGGCGTTCGCTTGTTGCCTCCGATCAGTGTCTTCGTCCGACACTCTACACACTCGTGCCAAGTGGCCGCGTTTCTGGCATCGATGGCACAGTGTTCGTAGATGACGACGAATCGTCCGCTTGGTGCGAGGATGCACCACAGCGGGTGCAAGGCCGATGCTCATTGCGAGATAGCCCACTTGCTTTCTTCGACTTCGAACGTGAGAGGCCCGGCCGCACAAAATTCGTTGTGTCGGCTACCGGGGAGGGCAGTGGCTGCATGTGCTGCGCGTTTTCCGCGGCGGCCTCAGCAGCCATTACGAAGTCTTCTGCTTCCTTCAAAGTCAGGGAACCGCGGGTCAACAACAGACGTCTTACGTCGTCGTCTCGAACACCACATACAATGCGGTCCCGCAGCATGCGGTGCAACATGTCGCCGAAATTGCAGTCTTCGGCCATGCGGCGAAGGGCGGCTACAAAATCCCGCACTCGCTCACCTTCTGCCTGTGTGCGCGTGAAGAATCGGCAGCTGGCTGCTGTGCTGGCTGCTGTTTCGTTGACCTGCGGCTCGTAGTGGCTCTGCAGGTGCTTGGTGACATCGCTGTAGGTGAGGTCGTTCACGCTTTTGGGGTGGCATCGTCCCTGAAGTACTTTGACGGCGCCATTGGACAGAACTGCCACCAGCAGGGCTCGTTGTTTTGCCTCGTCTGTGATTTCCTGTGCTTGAAAGTATGCTTCCAAGCGTACCTTGTAGGCGCACCAGCCTCCTTCTTCCGTGAATGCAGGCGCCTGTCCCGGCGCCATCGCTGCCTGTTTCAGCAGCCACGCTTCAAAGCGCCTCCTCCCACCGCGTCGATTCGTGCCTCGTCGCCACTGTTACGTCGCGAGTGAACGGCTCAGTAACCAAACAAGAACAAGGGCGGTTTATTTTGCGTGTCTCGCTTTTATGTGCTCGGCGATGGCGATGACGTCATGACATGATTGGCGACCCGCTTGCATGGCGTAGCACTACCGGTGGCCCTGTTGCTGTTGTTTAGTGCATGATCTATCACAATCCACTTGAAAGCAGCCGTGTAGCATCAGTATCACCCTATAACAAGAAATGATTGCCGACACAAGATACAAAACAGGCCACAATGTGCACTTGCCACTTTTGCTTGGCTTGGATTGAATCTCTGTGCAATAATAGTACGCTTGATACTTAAGAGATGGCGCCGAATGGCGCGTGCTATCATCATCAGCGGCTGGAACGAGCAGACGACATGATTTCGACAGTTTTCGGAAGTGGGATAATTACTCGAGAAAAAAAAAGAAATCGTAGTTTTGTTGGGCGATGTGGAGGGTGCGAGAATTGTGTGAGAGCGAGGATTATACAAGTAAATATGGTACGTATAAACGGCAGAGACACATTGAGCAGGCACGTATTGAAGAGCTTCTACTGTAGAGGTGACTATGATGCTGCGATCATTCAGTCACAATGAAAATGATGGGCAGTATACGAATTAGCCCAAGTCTTCATGCTTGCAGGTTTTCAACGCGTTTTTGGCTTTGCTTATTGCTGTGTTGTGGTTTTGTTTTGAATAGAAAAACAGATGGTTGTGAACTTCGTGATTAGTGAGCCTAAAAAGTCAAGGTGCAGAAGTGGAAATACTGAACGTTTCCTGATTGTCGTCTGGTGATGAAGCAGCTACAAGTCATGCAAAGCCAAACAGAGCCATAAGAACGAAGTATAAACAAAGCCATGTACTGCTTATCATTTCCATGCTCACTGAAGCGCCACGTGTTGCAGTTCCCATAGACACTAGCACCAGAGTTTGTTATAGTGTATTCATAGGAAAATCTGTGATGTGCCTGCCTATGTGCGATAGCTGTATCACCATGCCTATGTGCGATAGCTGTATCACCATCATGATCACCTAGTACTCGCTTTTCGCATCAGGTTTCAACCCAAAGTCTTTATTTTCGTCAGTCAGCTTTACCTGCATCTTAGTTCGATGGCTGCTTTCTAGCCTTTAGGTTGGTGATTGAACTTTCAAGGCGGGCTCGGGAAGCAGCTAAAAACAAATGCTACAACAGTGAAAAATACGGCGCAAGTGACTGGTAGATGAAATCACCAATGATTGCCCGTGCGTGCTTCCCTAATGCTCAAACCCTATGCACATTACGACGACGAGCATGAACGTGAGCTTAGCTGATGACTGATAAGATCCCTACCATTTGTCGTGATAAGACAGCGACAAGAGCAATGACAGCGCACGCGAAGACTTAAAGGGGCCCTGCAACACTTTTTGAGCGTGAACATAAAACACTGCCGATCTTTAGTAGAGGCACCAAACAACACGCGAGCCAAATAATATAGCACAGCACGTGGCCTGGAACTCAAAATAAATTATCAACGTCAGCTGAAAATTGCTTGCTCTTCTCTCGACAAATCACGTTATATGCCCGAAAATCAAATGTCAAGGGCCCATCTATCAGCCATTGGCTAATTTGAACATGGCGTGCTCGCTCATAACAGAGATCACCGCGGGAGGCCGCTACTTGCCCACGCGTGCGCACGCGATCACATTAAAAAAGTTGCGCACTTGAAGTGAAAAAAATTTTTAAAAGAGCGCGCGCGACGTTTTTCTGGGGCCTTGACATCCCTCCCTGTTTAGTTTCTAGCGCTTTCGTCAGGACGAGAGAAAAGAGAATGCAATTGCAGCATGCGACAAATTTTTGTAACTCCACTCGCACTGAACAGATTCTTAAAACTTTTGTTGCGTTGAATTCGTGAGGCAATAAGCTCTCCCGGTGAATGGACCATATGCGAAATTGCTTTGTGCTCTAGCAACACTGCGCATTTTGACCCCGCTGCCATTTTAATGTGGGCGAGCGGTCGACGGCAACGCGTTCGCTAGTACAACCGTATGACTCCTGAACACTTGCTTCACTGCGCTGAGCTACTGCGATGGCCACACCAAGACGTTTCCCAGTGCCCGAACATGTGATGTGGACAAACTGTTTAGGAATCTTGCCACATTTTGCCACTTGTATTTTGATGCATATTTCGGAAAGCGGTGGAAGGATACCTACAAGATATAAGGAAACAAACATTAAGTGCGACGTCATGAGCTAGGTTTCTCTAAGCTGTTTAAACGATTGTTGTTTACAAACACAGGCACTATCACGAATTCATCTCACAGGGAATAGAGGTCCAGTTTTATGTGCTTTGCAGGACTAATGATGCACTTGTAATGTGACCCCCTCTCCCTTAGTTTTTTCTGCGCACACTCCCGTTTCCTAGCAGCCTTTCCTAGATATGGCCCTTCACAGCAAGCCTTAAGAGGCATTAGTCACTTGTGGACACTCTAGGGAATTTAAATCAGTTATTTTTTATATCTAAGTAGCTTCAAAGGTTTCTAGGAGCTGCAAGTGTAAGGCAGCCAAAATGCTGAATCCCTCACAACTAAGTTATGGCTGTCTCCACAGCCGTATGTTTTATAATGCAAATGAAACATTTTTCAAGTGAGGTGAGTTGCAACACAAAAAAACAGCTGCAACGCAACTGAGCCAAAGAGACTAAAATGCAGAGAATGAATCCCGTCTTATGAATAAATAGGACTGCCGTGCTCTGAACTCATGCAGAACGTCATTCAGTCAAGCCCTGGTGATACTCATGGTGTCAGTTTTCGAAACCTACGGCAGTGCACCCTGCTATCTTTTCGATTTTATTTCGCTGGTAAAGAAAAATTAGTGAGAGGCCCCAATGGAAAAGTTGCGTCCGCGCACGTTGGGCGAATGGAAGTTAAGTGCCTGAGCAGATATTTTTCTGTTCCAAAGTGGGCAGTAGCCCTTATCTTCCGAATGACTGTTTTATTGCTGCGGGGTGACCGTACTTGTAGACACAATGGAGCTTGAAGGTGGACAAGTAACCGAGCTGCCTTTCTAGAATGCGTGTACGGCATGTTAATCGGAGTAGCGGAAGCTCTGCACGTCTCTGTGCGCAATCACCTTCAAAAATAACATTTCTACGTCGTCTACCTACATGGTGTAATCTCGTCACAAAAAAGTCCGTCCAAACAGTTCGGTTCTGTCACCCTAGTTACTTCACCAGCAGTTGCGGACTCTCTATTCGACTGCAGGGAATTTCCGGGGCTCTTCGATTTACCATCTCAGACTCACCGCGGATAGACTGCGGGTAGTCCAAGGCTTCCCCGAAGTCATAAGAAAATTTGAATGCCGCACATCTTCTCAGCGAGTTCGAGATGGTAAATCGAAGAGCACCACTGTCGTGTAG